TAAGAAGTTTTAAATTATTTACAAAAAAATTTGAAACTAAAATTTAAAATCATAAAAATATTCATTCATTTTTAGATTCATCTTAGCATTTGAAGTATGTTTTAAAGATATAAACAAATTGATAAAAACATAACAATTGTATCTTAATATTCGCAAACACAGTTTAAGCAATTAATGATGATTTTTTTATCTTGTTTGCAAATGTATTTTAAAGTTTGTGTTTCCTTAATGTTGTTCTTCGTGAACAGTTTAATACATTTTAGAATTTCTTATTTAAGTAGATGAATTATAGAATATTTTTCTATTGAAAATCTTACAAATCTTTTTACCAATTATAATAACATTTTTCTGCGTTAATTTTTTATTGTCTTTTAGAACGGCGTCCATATCACGAAAGTGACTTTAGCCATTTCGAAATGAATACCGTATACGCAACGGTTTATCGTACAGGCGTCAGGCGAAGCCTAGAACAAAATTAATATTTTTTGTGCAAGATCAATTATTCAATTGCCAGTTAAACAAAAGAAACAACGAAGGATACAGTGTGTGCAATAATTAATTAGTTTCAGTCAATTATTGATTGTGATACGTTAGTTAACAACCTCAGTCTCGATAAAGATTCTATAGTTGTATAAAATTTTTGTTGCCGACGCAGCTCCGTATTTTTGTTACAATTTCATTGAAGGTAAAATACAAATACAATTTACAATGTATTGTTCATCAAATTTTTTTTTCCGGAAAAACAATTAAGTTCATAAATATTATTTTCGAAAAAGATGTTTATGTACCAAATTGGCGTCTTTTATTCTACTAGCCAATTACACAAAAGATGTTTTCCCGCCATATTAGTAAAACTTGCTTCGGGTATGAAATTTGTAATAAATAATATACTTAAATTGTAGTGAATAAAACATTTAAATATCATACTCTGAATATATTTTTGTTTTTTTTATTTTATGATTATTTTAAATTATTCTTGTGTAACATCGTGTTTATTTTTACGTATAACAATCGGTTTAAAGAACTCAATTACAAAATTTGCTTCGAAAATTATGTAAAATGGAATTTTACTTTATTTAATGTTGAATTTTATTATTGGCTTGCAATTACATTGTTGATATCCTTGTTATTCAATGTATGTACAATGAGAGTATTGATATACTATATTGCGCGACGTGGTTATTTGACAGTTTTTTGTTTACGAATAAGGGGTTAAGTGCTTGCAGTTATTTTTCCATGCTTAAAACATTTAGAATGTCTTGTTGGTTAAAATCAAAACGTAGTATAATAAATAATTTATATAAAACAAAGACAGTAATGCTAATAATACAAATGTGGCTTTAGTTTTTTCTTAATTGTCAGTTGTCCGATGTGCTTGGTTTTATTGTGCAGCTCAATAATAATTGAAGGATTTAAGTGTCATTTTACTACAATATCATAATATTAGAAAAAAACCTATTTGTACAAATAAAACATTCATAAGAGTGTTCTGTATTGATCATAACTGTAGTTGAATGTGATTAAATTGAGCACCATTTAATTCTATAGTTTGTTTAATTTTTTTGCATTGAAGTTTTATTTATTCAATAACACATTTTCTATCAATCTAAAAATGAGAAGAACCTAAGAATATATCTTAAATGAGCAAATAAATATTCAAAAGATAATTTTGTAATTAATTAAAATTATCAAACATTCAAAGTTTTTATTTATGTTTTACTTGCAATAATATGTTACATAATGGAAAGAAATCAATTTTTTTATGTTAAATGTGAACATATATTTCATGAAAATTAAAAGTTTATAATATTGAATGTAGATTTTGTCTTAGAAAACATCCATGCTTATAGTATAATTACTACAGTTATCTTCTAAATTATAAAGTTTACTAACAGCAATCTTGTTTTTATATTTTACAGTTACGTAAAACATTGCATTAAAATGAGTACCACAGTAGAAAATGGAAGTGGTGACAATGGACCAAAGAAAAAAACTATTGAAGGGATATATCAAAAGAAATCTCAATTGGAACATATTTTACTGCGCCCTGACACCTACATTGGTTCAGTTGAAACAGCAACAGAAATGATGTGGGTTTATGATAAAGAGAAAGAAGCAATGGTACAGAGGGAAATAAAATATGTTCCTGGATTATATAAAATATTTGATGAAATTTTAGTAAATGCAGCAGATAATAAACAGAGAGATCCTAAAATGGACGCAATAAAAATTGAAATTGATCCGTAAGTGTTATTATTTAATGTGTAATGTAACAAAAAATTTAAAACATTTAAATATAGTAATTCTACACTTAATAAATATTAAATTTAATTTGTAGAGAAAACAATGTTATATCTATATGGAATAATGGTAAAGGTATTCCAGTGGTAGTTCATAAAGAAGAAAATATGTATGTTCCTACAATGATATTTGGCCATTTGTTAACATCATCTAATTATGATGACGAAGAAGAAAAAGTAACAGGTGGTAGAAATGGTTATGGAGCAAAATTGTGTAATATTTTTAGCCATCGTTTTACTGTGGAGACTGCATCTAAAGAATACAAGAAGTGTTTAAAACAAGTAATTATTTTCTAAATGTATATTTAAGATAGATGTTCACATTTTTTATCATAAGATATGTATATAATCATGATTTTATTTGTAGACATGGTGCAATAACATGGAAAGTGCAAGTGCACCCAGAATTAAAGACTTCTCTGGTGAAGATTTTACAAAAGTTATATTTTCACCAGATTTATCGAAATTTAAAATGCAATCTTTGGATGATGATATAGTTGCTCTTATGTCTCGAAGAGCTTTTGATATAGCAGCTTCTACTAGAGGTGTTAAAGTCTACCTTAATGGTACTAGGATACCTATCAAAAATTTCAAGGATTATGTTGATTTTTACATAAAAGGTAAAGAAGATGACATGGGCAGTCCTTTGAAGCTTGTATATGAAAACTGTGGACCTCGCTGGGAAATAGCTATTACTTTATCTGATAAAGGTTTCCAGCAAATGTCTTTTGTAAACAGTATTGCAACAACGAAGGTAATAAATATTAGAAAACAACAAAATTAAAATGTATTTGCATTGTAAAAAGAGTCTTCAACAATATTTTTTTTCAAACAGGGCGGACGACATGTAGATCACGTTACAGAATTGATTGTAAAACAATTAATAGAAACTTTAAAAAAGAAAAATAAGGCTGGAGTGACAATTAAACCGTTTCAAATAAAAAATCATTTATGGATTTTTATTAATTGTCTAATTAATAATCCTACATTTGATTCACAAACCAAGGAGAACATGACATTACAGCCTAAAAGTTTTGGATCAAAATGTGCACTTACTGATAAATTTATTACATCTGTAAGTATTCAAATATAATTAATAACAAAATTAATAAATTAATAATTATTAATATAACATTTATTTAAATTTGTAAGAAATTTTTATTTATA